CTCCTGTTTCATTCATAGAGGGCTTCACTTGGGGTTTCTCTCTTCTCCTCCTTCAATTCCACCAGCCCCCCACATGCTTTGGGTGCCCCCTGGCCTCTCGGGTCCTTGTCCTTCTCCTCTCCCCACCTTAGCCACCCGTCCTGCAAGTCACACTAATAACGATGTGACCTTCTGTATCTCCATTCAGAACATCCCTTCCTCTGGACACACCTCCTGCACTCAGTGTCCCCACTGCCACAAGTCTTCCCTCACTGCCTCGAGCCCCCTTTCTCTTCGCCCATCTTGGATTAAGGCCCAGTGCTATACCCAGACCCTTAAAACATCCCCAGTAGGGGGCGTGCAGGGGCAGCCAAGCAATGATTCTCTCTCATCATTGATGTTTCTCTCTCTCTCTCTTCCTCTCCTGTCTCCTCTGAAATCAATAAAAATACATTTTAAAAAATTGTAAAAAAATATATATCTAAAGGAAAAAAGGAACCTCCACTATTCAATACCCCATCACCAAGAACCTGTGCCTCCCTCAGGCTTCCATATCTCAGGAAACAGCAGCTTCATCCTTGATATGAAAGGTCATCCTTGACTCCCTACTTTCTCACACCTCACATTCAGTCCTTCCAGTACCAAACCGTGCCCTGAATCTGTGCGCCTCCCTCCATCCTTTTCGTCCTGCTGTGCTGAGAGCCTTCTCACCTAAGGCTGCTGAGGCTCGGTGCCCGGCCCAACACTGTCTTTCTGCTCCTGAGATGCTCCAGTCTTTCCCCATGCCTTCCCATGGGGTTCCTTAGGCCTCAGCTCAGTGCCACCTCCTCCAGGAAGCCTTCCTGGACCACACTACCCCTGGCCACCACAATCCTCATTGCAGCACAATGCTGGTTTCCTCACTGCCTTTGTCTTCCTGAGGTGACTATAAATTCCACACCATTAGGGACTGGGCCTCTCTCTGAAGGGTCCCAGCATCCAAACAGTGTCAGGCAGATGGTAGGGGTGACTAAACCATGGACTGCTGCCCTGATTGGTGGTGCTGCCGTCTGTAACCCTGCCTCCTCTCCTGAGATGTCATTCCTGGGTGCACGTGTAGGTCCTTAAGTTCTCCAGCTCCCAAGGGCAGGCTTGAGGGAACCCCTTTTCTCTTCCTCCAGGTATCTATAGGGTCTCCTGCCAGCTCTGGCCTCCCCTGGAGGCATCTCCAGAATTCCAAGCCCGTCTCTGGAATGCTGGGCCTGTCTGGGGAATGTCAAGGCTGGGGCACAGGTGGAGAGGCTGTAGCGTGGCTGGGTGGAGCAAGGACAGCTGCTGACATTCTGGCCGGAGCCCAGACCCCATGGCAGCTGTCCCTCCTGCAGGCACCACAGCTCACGCCTCCACGTCCTTGCAGCACCCCCTCCCAAGACCAGTGTCACTCTTCTGGCCACAGCTCTGGCCTGGGCACCCTCACTAAGTTGAGAGCCACCAGGCCTTGAGCCTCCATTCCCTGTTGGGAGGGAAAATGGGTTCCTGGAACCGCTGAAGTTTGAGAAAAGTGGAAATTATTCCCACACCAACCTGGTCCATCAGACAGAGTTTTCCTGGGAGGGTGACCTTTATAGTCCCTGTGCCTCTCATGGGTGAGGGCAGGTTGCCCCCTTGGTCCCTGGGAGTCCGTGTTGACCAGAGGGAAATCCAAGTGAGTGACAGATGGACTAGAGCTGTAGGCCCACTGGGCCCCACAGTGCCCTCTTCTCCCCAACCACAGCCGAGATGGAGCGTGGGCTGCGGTGCCAAGGGGCATCCAGGGCTTAGCTGGGGGCTGCAGTCAGTTATTCCTCCCTCCAGATAAGGACCCCCCGCTGCCCCAGGAGCTCGTGAAATGCAGGTGCCTGGGCCACCACCAACTCCAGATGCTGA